TATAGGAATCTGGCTGTTTAGGGTCAAGGACACCCTCAGAGCAGTCACCCTAAGGCAAGAATAGGCCATGGGGAGTCAAATCTACTGCCTCCTTAGGACCCAGATGAGTTTGGAACAGAGGGGAATCTGATAAAATGTATAAGAGAACTGCACAGGACAGCCACCCCACAACAAAGAATTATCTTGTCCAAAATGTTAATAGTGCTGAGATTGAGAAACTCTAATCTAGAGAAAGTGCTACAATTTTTTGTCATCAAAGTATGAGTTTCTTGTGTTCAGAACCCAACTCATTGAGCTATTGGTATTCAATAATTAGCAGAGCACCCTGTGAATAGATAATAAATCCAACATAATCCAGTTCTCTTTTGAAAAGTAGCCATTTCCATTTCCACAGTTCTTCCCCTGAAATTATCTGAAAGGGAAATGTCACTCAGTTAGAAGGCTCCAGCTTGCCGGATAACAGGAGGAAAGTGCTTCACAATATCTTTCCAGAAATGAGAAGAGGACAGAGTGTACTCAGAAACAGAGGTGCAGGCAAATGAAGGTTACTGACAGCCAAAAACACTGAGACTGGTAAACATCATGATAGCTGGACAGACAAGGAATCCCTGTATCCATATGATGGCCTTTTGACATGAAGGAATAGGAGTAAACATCAAGGGTAAAGTAGCTTATATTTTATTGAAATAAACTAGATGAAAGATCATATCTTAAATGATATGTCTTCAAGCATGTGCTACATCAAGGTCTTGACAGCATCATTTTCCCAAGAGATGTGCCAGTAAATTTAAGTAGTTTCCAAGTTATAAGTATCTTGATTACCAAAGAGCAGCAGGATGCAGAGCCTGACCAGTAAAATCAAAGGATTGATGGCTTCCTCTTCACACTCCTGCCTTTATTTTCCCCTGCATGGCTCATTATTCTGCTGCATTAATTTAAGCTTCCTATTGCACTGAATTAAGCGCTTAAATTCTCTTATCATCCCTGTGGGAATCTTGATTGTTTATTTGTGGATGAGAATAATTGTTTTTATTGATCCCCAAATGTGGAAGGTAAAAAAAAAATGCTATGGTTGATGGCCAGCTCATACATAGTGCTGCGTACATGAGTGACAAATTATGAAACAGTACTTGGCCCCAGAGGATACCCTTTAAGAATTTTTAAGGCATTTGATAGTTATCATTTTGAGGCATTTGATAGTTATCACTAAGTCTTTCCAAGCTGGAAATCATAAACAATTTCACATACATCAGGCAAAGTCTTTTTGTTGTAGTTTTCATTGAAAGTTAAAGGTCTAGTTGGGTGTAATTTATAACTTCTCATTTCTAGTATGTTCACACAGCAACCCAGTTGAGTTTGGAAATGGTGCAGCTACAAGACGTTCCAGAGCCAGTGTCATCAGGCCAGTGAGTTCCTCTAGGGACCTAGATTACTAGGCATTTATTTGAAAGAATTCCTGGATTCATCCAGAAGTTGTCATTATTCCACTGCAAACATCACTATATGGACATTGACTTCAAATAGTTAGAGAAAAAAACTACTTTGCTAGCTCTAGCTTGTACTGTGGGTAGGAAACCCCACGCCATTTAACATCCCAAATATATCAGAGGCATCAGGGAAAGGAACTGCAACTGTCTAATTAAGTGCTATTTGTAGGACAGGGCACTTGGGCAGTATGAGCCTCCCCCATCTGAATCAAATGCAACACATCTTGTTTAAAGAGCTATTGAGCTAATTAGCATGGCCTGTCTACACAGAAATAAAACAAACCAGGTTAGGTCCTAAAGGAATCAAGGATCAGAAATGTGGTAAAGTTTCCTTATTAGGTGGTAAGAAGGAAAGATCTTTGACCAGATGCCAAACCCTGAAATTCTTGATCCTCTTTTCCTGTGGTAAAGAGAACACAGATATATAGAGAAGCCACTACGACCATTGCATCTTCTTTATTCTTTGAGGGCTCTGTTCTGAAAGCTTACTGTTGAACCTTCAGAAATGACTGTGTGGGCTGGACTGGAATGAGTCAGGAGAGCTTGTTTTGCAGAATAAGTGTCCATATGTCACAAAGAGGATCTTCCTCTTTTTCCTGGAGATATATTATCTTTGACTTTGATAATTAACACATCTGTGAAGGGACCACAACAAAGGGAGGATGATTTTTCCTAATTATGATTTTTTTTTTCGCACTGAAATTCACCTTTACCCTTAGCGCTATGGTTCAGTTATGGCCTTGGCCTTGGTCAGCCATTGCAACACCTTCCATGAGTGGCAGTGTAAAGGGGTTCTCCCCATGAAAGTTTTGTGACCATTGTCGCTACCATTGCAAGGTAAAAACTTTATACCCAGCTTATCTTTTTATATATGCTGCATACATTTAGTATCATGCCTGTCACACAAGGGAGCACGAAATGTGATCTGACCAATTCACGTGTTTGCTCATTACAATATCCGATATGCATGGAGCATGGTACTGCACAATGGTTAAAACTTAATTACAGACTGTTGAGGGTGATGATCACAGAATCATTTGATTTTTAAATTAGAAGAAACCTTGGTTATGACTTAGTTCAACCATCTCATTTTAGACACAAGGAAAATAAGACCCAAAGAGGCTAAATAAGTGTCCAAAGCCTCATGTTCGAGTAGTGGCAGAGCTGCAATATCAAACCAGATATCCTCACTCCAATTCTGACTGCACTCTGTGTTGACTCTGAAACACATGGCTGTGCTTTGTTGCACGGTATTGTGATCAATTGTTTTAACATGTGTGCCTCCCTCACTAGACCATGTACTCGTAAGAAAATATTCATCACCAGGCTCCTAGCACAGTCAGTGGCACATAATAGGATCCCAATAAATGTTGGTTGAAAAAGCGAATAAATGAGTAAATACATGAGACTTGTTTTTTTCCTCATCATGTAGAAACAAACAAATGCCGTAACTTTTAGTGATCTCTACGAGTGCTTGGTCAGCGTAATAATGAAGAATAGACAATATAGGGAGTGGAAGGTAGAAAAAATAGTATGAGAAAGAAGAGAAAAAAAAAAGAATACACAATTCCATAGGAATAATAACTAGACAAATTCAGTACATAGACAAAATGTTTAGATTCAATTTGGGAGCATTTTGTCAAGACTCGTGCCTCCTCTGATCTCTTCTCATTTTCAAATAAGGGCTTTTTAAGCAGATGGTGCTTTAAACAATTCCCATCATTGCTGCTTCTCCTCAGACCCCAGAATGCAGGATGGACTTCAGGTTAAGTTGTCTAAAAGGCAAAGTTGTTCGTTAGTGTATCTCACTTCCCTGAGATATGTCTTCCCACTCATTTTGCATCTATTGCTGCCCCATGTTGCTGCTACTATCACAGAGGAAAGTGCACATAACTCGCTGTGATCTGGTTTCTGGGATATTTTCCATACGTCAGAAGATACGAAGGAATGGCTACTTAAGCAGTGACATTTGAGACTCAGTGATAAGTATGCAGAGAGGAGGTATATGGGCTGAGTTTGTGTCTCCTTGTGAATCACCCAAAGTCAATGCAAGTAAAGGCTAAAAAATCCAATCATCTACCCCCACTGTGAGTTTGTGTTTTTCCTGAAATGCTGGCACGTTGTAAGTAATTTGACACTAAGTAGTGCCTGTTAAAAAGAAGCAGCAGCAGCAGCAGCAGCAGCAGCAAAGGATTCAAGGCTCCTAATTATAGCACACTGATGGCTTGGTGCTGGGGTGTGCATCAACAATATTGAGCAAGTACTGGCTGGAGGGCTGAATCCAGACAGCGGTTATCAGTATCTAAGTGTCAGTTTCAACTGGCTGTGCTCCTGTAGGCCAAGAAGTCTACATGGAAGGTAGACCATTTAATCTTTTTCAGAGGTGTTGCTACACAGCCGTCAAACAAATTGGGCTAGTCCAAATGCCCCTGTGGAGAGAGTTTTAAGGAGATGGGCAGTCATCTGTTTTGAATGGATTGAGTCACTTTGGCTAAAGACAAATATGGAGATCCAGTTTTCACTGAAAATTCCTTTGAACCATTTGGAACTTGGCAGATGCCCAATCAGCACTGCATCTAAGTACATCCCCACCCTCCCACTCAGTTCCTGCATTTCCCAGATCTTCTTTGAACATACCAACCATACTTCCACACTTGTGATTTTGTCCTTGCCCTTCCCTCTTCCTGAAATACCTTTTCCTCATCTGGTCCACATAGCTTCTTCCTCCTTGACCCTCCCCTCTGTCTTTTTCAGATCTTTGTTCCCATGATCAAAGAAGCCTTTCCTGGCCAACTTTTATAACATAGCTACCTCCAAATCCAATCCACTGGCCTTCGCAAAGACAGAAGCTTTCGTTGTTTTGATCGTTATTGTATCCCCAGCCTCCAGAACAATGATTACCATGTCGCTTGTTCAATGGAAATACAATGAAGTTGATAATGTAGGTCTTAAAAAGGAAAAGTCTTGTCTTATAATGCCTGGAAAATAGTTAAGGAAATCTTTTCAGATGCTTTCATTTCAAGTTAATCACATACACTGCATGTAAGTTACACTTAGAAACCCAAGCAGCCTTTAAGAAAGTAGTAATATGTCCAGGTAAGCAAGATAGCACTATTATCATTCAGTACCCATCCAGGCTCCAAGCAGCTTTAAGAGAACCTTTCCTCTGATAGACAGCACTAATTTGTGTCTTATGGAAAATTAAATAAATTATTTTTCACCTGAAGGGAGCAGGATTATTTGACTTCAGATATTTGCCATATGGCTTCTCTTGCACACAACATAGCTTTGAGGCTTAAGGTAGTAAGAGCAAGAGCATTCCTATAAATTATTCAGAGATAATTCAAAATAAGTGTGCATCTTTGACATATTGTCAAGTTTCTCAATGCTTTTTCCTGATAACAAGTGCTATGTTTTTGATGAAATGTTGCTTGTTTCTCACACACCTTATTGTTCTGTGTGTGTGTTCTGTGTTTTGTCCTGTTTGTTATTGTTTGTTTTAATTTCCCTCAGAGTCCAGTCTGGCTCGTATCTCAGCACAGGGTGGTTTACCTTCATTCTGGCCATGGACGCTTGTTATGGCATTCACGTCTACGGGATGATAAATGACACCTACTGCAAGTAAGATCACAGGAAATTATTTTTATGCAGCTCCAATTCTGAGATCTTGTCAAAATATCACAATTCATTTTAATACCATAAATCTAAGAAACAGATAAAGCAACAATTATTTCCCAGTGTTCTTTGCTGACATGACATTTTATTGTCAGTGCATCAAGTTGTGCCTTCTAGGGGTGATAAAAAGAAAAATATTTACCAGTCTAATGTCAAGTGTCAGGAGGAACACTTTTCCCTTAATCAGTGGCATAGCAGGAACTTGTGGCTTGAAAATATAGAAGTTTAGTGGTTGTTTAATTTGCAAAAGCAAGTTTGTCATTTCTGCTGCTCTGATGGCTTGATGGATAGCTATCTACTCAATGGTTAGATTTGATCATGAACGAAAAAATGTCCTGAAGTCTCAGAGAAACTGACAGCTTAACAAGAATTCCTGGAAATTATACTTCACTAATAAGTGAGTAATCTGCCAGATCCTTATTTAAAATGAGTGTGTTTACCCACAGTATATCCTCGCTGGTGGGATAGTTTCTAATTAGATAATAAAACAAACCCTCCATGCTTCATCAGGATAATGAAATCTATTTCCCTACCAACAATTGGCACAATATAATTCACAGACTGTTTTAATCATAATGTCAAAATGGTAACTCTCAGCCACAATCATCATGGACAAATATTTCTTCCCTAACTATAAGCATAATGGAGCTCAGATGAACCCAATATCTTACTGTGAAAAATCACAGTTTCTTCAGGTTCTGCAAGAGGCTATCTGAAGTTTCTTCCATTATACACCATTTCTTTTTTCAAAGAATAGCCATATGTTTGAATGTAATTGGCATGATATATAAATTTTATTTGATCTATTAAGCCACTAAGAACCTGGTACATCTTCCTAAAAGCTTTCATACATATAATAGCTTTTAACTGAGTTCATGGACAAGAATCATGTATGGGTTTGTGAGTAAATGCATTTACTGGGCACATAATGGATTCTTGTAAATGAGTGCTTCATTCTTCATCTCAATCTTTCTCTCCTTTTCTTTTTTTTTTCTTTTCTAGGACAGAAGGGTATAGAAAAGTCCCCTACCATTACTATGAACAAGGAAGAGATGAGTGTGATGAATATTTTCTTCATGAACATGCCCCATATGGGGGTCATAGGTTTATCACTGAAAAGAAAGTGTTTGCTAAATGGGCCAAGAAGCACAGGATAATATTTACACATCCAAACTGGACATTGTCTTGATAATGGTTTTTCTGATCTTGCCACATCACTTAACGTGATCCCCATACTGCGACTGTGATGCTGATGATGCTAATGGAGATGATGGTAACGATAAAGACAACAACAATGATTATCAAGTTCCTGTACACTCTCAGATGTGGATGGTGACTCTGCTAGTAATTCAAACTCAGCATTTCATGGAGGATGGTTGTGCTCATGATGTTCTTTCTGGAGGTTCAACACTACATACCGCACTTTATAATTTAACTGGAATTGAGATGAAGGCCAGTGACATGACAACTGTGACCTAAGAAATGGGAAGATTATCCTTCAAGATAGCTGCCTAGAATTGTTCAACAGTGAGTAACTTCCAAAAGCCAAAAGAGTTTGGCCTCATGAGGCAAGGTGACTGACTCAATGGCTTCTTGAATCTCAGCAGCTCCGCCATCTTGAAGAATGATTGATTTTTCAAACACTGACCCAAGAACTGCTATCAGGGTGCAAGTATCTTACTAGTTAGCCTAAGGACGGGAAAATATCACTTCCTAATATGCCATCTTTCAACAGTATTTCCTACAGCTAAAGCCTCAGGCCACTGCCTAATTAACAATGAAGATTTCATGGACGTCCTACACTTCAGGATTACTTGACTATCCCAAACACATAAATCAAAATGGGCTAAGTAGCAAATCTTGATGAATTTCCACTCTTACCATCCATTCTTACTACAGACAATATAACTGAACATGTGATTAGAGTGACCTATATTAATGTTTAGTTATTTTTGGTTGAGTCCTAAATATTTCAGAAGGCTACTTAACATGTAAGATACCAACTTCAACACTGTAATAACATATACTGTGAAAACATTCCTAAAACATAACCAAAGGGTTTACTAACTCTGCTTCAACATCCAACAACACAAAACCGTATGATTTTTAAAATCATGAAACAGAGAAAGCAAAGCATATTTTTACATCAATTTGTATCCTATCATACTTCATAATATATATTTGTATATTCAAATTGCTATTTTATAGGCCCAAGATGTGTTTCTCTAAACATTACATTCTCATTGCCAAGTGCCAACTGTTAGACATGGAGAGGAAATGATTCCTTATATTAAACCTGACCAGAGGTTTTGCCTTGTAGGAATTTATTTTTCCCATAGTGTGTCAGTTGTTATGCCACAATAACAACAATAATAATGACCTTAATGTCCAAGGTACTTTGTCATTTACAGTCCTTTAACATCTGTTATACCATGTGATGCCCCTGAACGCCCCATTGGGCTATTGTCTGTGTATTCTGCTATCTCTTTAGCAGATGATCTGTAATTTGGTCATTGTTCTGTTATATTCCAGATTGCTCTACTTGCCAATATTTGTATAGAATAGAATTTATGTAAACTAGTAACCAGTTGATCTCTGTGCCAAATACATTATATCAGGATTACACAAAAATATCACAAAGGATGGTCTTGGCCATATGCTACGACCCCTGTGAAAATAAGTAGTTTCGAGTAGTTTTTCTATATACATATATATATGTGTGATTCTATTTAGGCGAGGAAAGATGAAAAAGCAGGGACAACAGGAGGAAATGAAGGCAGAGAAATATAGTTTCCTGTCCTAGGGTTGAGACAATTCTATTTTTCATATACTCATTGCTCATTAAATATTAAAGGGTTGATTTGCTGAGAGAGTAGCTGAGAGTTCAAAAACATCCTTGCAGAATGATTCAAAAGACAAAAGCCAGGCTCAACTTACAGAGTGTTTTGGAGACTGGAAGTAATGATACATTTCACTTCAGAAGCACTTGTAGGTATTTACTAGTGCTAAGTATTATGGTGAGCTATCATTAAAATGTGCCGTCTTGGATAAAGGCCTTTTGCCTGCTGTCTTCTGCCATTTTGATACCTCAATATTCACACCCATAAAAATTACTAAGCCCCAGTTCTATCCTCGGAAGGAGTTGTTATTCTGTTGTTGTTCCCTTATGCAATTTTTAATTCTATGAATGTTAAGTTTTTTTGAACTAATGATAGATAGAAATGCCTACTGAAAGAAAAATAAACAGAGACAAATGTTAAAATTGCCATACAGACTGTTTTCCCCCTGTTGTTTCACCTTAAAATAAAAAGAAAACCTTGATTAATCAGAATGCCTTGGGACATGAACTTAATTTATTTAGTTTTCTAATAAACGAAGGGCCAACTCTTATTTGTTTTAACCCCTGCTGATGAGAAACATTTGAAAACTTGCTTGCTCTCCTGCCTCGTTATAGCTTTCTCTGATGAAGACTTTTGCAGTATATTGTATCCTTCACTCTGGCGGAAGTTGTGTGTGGAATATGTAGACTCCAGTGTTTTCTTAGGAGGGGTGGAAAGGGGCTTTTTTTTCTCTCCTCTCCTCTCCTCTCCTCTTTCTTTCCTTTCTTTTTGCATCTAAACTGCTACTCTACATTTTTTATTGTTGTTTTCTTTGTCTTTTTCTTTCTACAAACAGGAAACAATCAAACAAAAAAGCACAGGTTTTTCTCAATTTGAAAACTCAATTGAATGATTTCCAGTATAATCAGCATTTTGGTAGAATCTCACAACTTATTTTTCTCTGCTTTTATTTCCTGTTTTTCTTTGTTCCATCTTTCTAATTCTAGTGAAAATGCAAAGTCTAATTTCTCCCATGTTGAGAATAAATTTTTCATCTATGATTTACTGATAGAGAAGAGCTTGGTAAGGGAGCAATTCAAGGAGACTGTTTTGCCATGCAAATTTCTGATCAATTCCCACAGATTCTGGTGAAATGAAAGATATTCTATCCAACATTTAAACATTGAAAAATTTAACTGAACTTACTTATCACTGATGTGTATTTATCCTAGAAACTAGTATGTGAAAAATAAAAATATTTCAATACTACCCGTGGCTCTAGGAAAATGAAAATGAAAAATGGGTCACAATTTTTCTGAAATTGGCATGAAAACATTCAAGATAAAAATAATAGACTAGATATTATTTTTGATTCTGCATAATTCTATGAAAAAGCAAGGTAATTTTTTTAAAGTTTTAAAATAAGAATGTTTGAATCTTTTCCAATTTAACCAAGTGAGAAGTAGTAATGATTTACATTGTTATGATGATAATGTGAATAAGAAACCTTTTAGAGTATATGATTTTACATTGCTATCAAAGCTATCAAAGAAAAAGGAATTGGGATTTGGAGGAATGTTTGTATATATGCACATAGAGTCCATTTGTGTGTGTGTGAACACACATATTTATACATTATATACTTATAACTATATATAAAAGCATTTGTATAATCCTATATTCTTCACTGGTGCATGTGAATCATAGAAAACCCTATTTTAGACCTCATCTGAAATTTGTTGGGTTACATTTTGAATCCTGATGAAAAAAGCAAAAATCCAAATTAAATGGACTGATTGCTAAGAGTACATAAAATCATATTCAAAAGCTGGCCAGAAGAATAAAGCTAGAGAAGCTGCTAAATCTAGAAAACACAATTAGATGCCACAGTTGTCACAAATCAGACTTGTAAGTATAGCAATCTGTATTGTGGGTTCTGCCGATTGCAGGCTTAGCTAAAGTCACATTGAAAAACATTGCATCAAGCTTCATTCACACTGAAGTAAATGAACATTGGTCCTCCTATTCAAATAAGCCAGTCTTTAGCATAAGCAAAATCCAGATTTGCATGATTTTTATTATATAGCTAGAGAACTGTGACCACTGTGAAAAAGGAAATTTATATAAGGAGATTGCTCTTGGAGGATTTGGTATGAATCAGCTGAGGTAGGAACAAGAGTCTGAATTGGGGACCTGCTAACCTTCCAAGAAGTAGAAGGCCATCAGAAGAGAAAGACTGTTACTTAGAAAAGAGACAGCACTAAAGTACTTCACCTGGTAGTGTTAATTGGATGTTAATTATGAGGTTGGTTTAATTTCAATAAGCAAGAAAATATAATCAGATGACTGATTTTAAAAAAGAACAAAAACAATGGGCCCATCTAGCCTTTAATGTGACATGTTAAATGCAAACAATAAATTATGTTATTCAGTGTCCGTTGTTTGCATGGCTTAGCACAACAAAGGATTTACAGTCTGGGGGCCAGGAGAGAAAAAATGCTTTTTTCTTAAAACAGCATATTTAAAAGACAAGACCTCATCATTTTGACAGTGTACATAGATTAGTGACTGAAGGAGCCAGTGCTAGCCTTTGTAAGTAGTGTAGGCTTTTAGAGCTGAAAGAGATTTTAAAGACCAGCCAATTCAACTCCTACACCTTGGAGCTGAGGAAACAGACAGAGGTGAAGTGATTTGCCTGTAGTAATAAACTGGACTAATGGCAGTACTGAGACTCAAATTCTTGTCTCATGTTTTCTTCTCTAGTAATTTTTCCACTACACTTTTTAGACAGAAGAGTAGCTGGAAAAAAAAAATGCCTAACTGATTTTACTAAAGAGTCTATTCATGGAATCCAAGGGCTCCAAATTGTATTAATTCTGCTCAGGATGAGCACACTGATGTGGAGCAATATTTTCATAATTGAAGGAACATATCCCATTGATTGTCTACACTCTCTGTTCTCTCTGTTTGTTGCTATTGGTAAGGCTAGGCTATGTTCTGTTATCACAAAATTCTAGGACTTGTTTAAAGAACATAAAGTTGAGTTTCTTACTTTCTCTTTGTAACTGAGGATGAGCAAGCCATTGATACACCAAGAGCTGTTGAGTGTTTGAGGTTGCCTGGTGAAACTGGCAGGTCCTGTTGCTGACATTTCCCCAGAGCTAAAGTGTCCTCATATTCAAACCAACTCTGCTGCTCAAGTTAGTGAAATTATCCATCAGCACTAACACTACCCTTTGGGTTCATGCTCATCCCTGCACTATATGTGACCTTTGAGCCTAGATACCCTTCTGGAAGGTGAATGAAAGCCCCAAATGTCCCGCAAGACTTAGTCTGCATAAAGCATTGAAAAGGATTTTTTTTTCTCTACAGTATCATTTATATGATACTGTTAGAAGTGAAGAATTTTGAAACTACATACAATGGCCTCTGAAAATGGTTCCTGTGTCTCAGAAATAGTATATTGTTCTGTTGCTTGTTTTTGCTGAACTGTAGAGAAAACACCAGAGTAAAATTCCATGTAAATTGCTAAGGCATCAAATCAGAACTGTCCTTGGGCATTGTAACAGTGCAGAAAATCTCATTCAGTTTTTTTCTTTTTTTTAGTTAACTACTTTTTTGTTTCCTTTCAGAATAGGCACTTTTTTTTTTTTTTGAGACGGAGTCTCGCTCTGCCGCCCAGGCTGGAGTGCAGTGGCCGGATCTCAGCTCACTGCAAGCTCCGCCTCCCGGGTTCACGCCATTCTCCTGCCTCAGCCTCCCGAGTAGTTGGGACTACAGGCGCCCGCCACCGCGCCCGGCTAGTTTTTTTTTTTTTGTATTTTTAGTAGAGACGGGGTTTCACCGTGTTAGCCAGGATGGTCTCGATCTCCTGACCTCGTGATCCGCCCGTCTCGGCCTCCCAAAGTGCTGGGATTAAAGGCTTGAGCCACCGCGCCCGGCCATTTTTTTTTTTTTTTTTTTTTTTTTTTTTTTGAGTAGAAAAGCTCTTCTTTCTCCACAGATATGTCTCTTTTTGTTCACACCTTGGATTCTTCAGAAAATAGAAGCTCACTTCCTTCCATAAAGGTGAAGAACATCTTGATGAATAAACAGTCAAGTACCAAGTTCACATATTTACCTATGTAGTGAAAGCTGTTTCTAAGAAACTTCAAAGGGATCAAAATGAGGCAATTTTATAGCTTTTTGTTACCTAATCTACAAAGTACTAATTTCCTTGTGTTTAGCTTTGTTGTCACTGTTACTGAGTAAATACCCATTTCTGTTACATATGGAACATTTTTTGCTTCACTCATTTTCCTGAGTTCCCATGATTTTTTCTGTAGTTTCTCATTCATTTTAAAACCTGTAATCTTCATCTATTTTTAGAAGAAGCTGTAAATTCACAGTTGTACATTTGTTGAGAGTTTTTATGACATTATAGTGCTTTATTTATAAGCATTGTGTCTTAGAATAAAGCTTACAAAATGGCAAAGGGCCATTGGCATATTTCAGTTTGTTTTACAACAGGACAAGTAAGGATACGTTAACAAAGCCAGAGGAAAAAGTGGGTATGGGATTTTTAATATACTTGATATCCAAGTCAGAAACATATCCAGGATACTACTACAAACAACAACGAGATAAAATGTTAGTCTGCCTCTGGAATTTGTTTTGTCCATATTAACTACCTGATGCTGACATGTATTTCTTTTTTTGCTATGCCAGACATATTAACAGAGTTGAGTTAGCACATAAGCTGCATAAAACAAAGAAATCTTCCTTCGTTCCTCCCTTCCTTCCCTCTTCCTTACTTTCCTCCCCACTCTTCTCTTATTTTCTTTCCACAAAACTCAACACTCTTGCAGTTGAATGTCAAATTTGGATAATTTTTCTTTTAACAAATCAGCTTATCGTTATCTATCCAACTCTGTAAGAGATCCATATTTGGAAATGATCTCAAAATAAGAGTCATCTTTGGAAATAATGACTTCCAATAACTTATATGCCAGGCTTATTAAAGGGCTGTATATCTCATTCAGTTTCCCCAATACTTTATGAGGTACATAATGTTACCATCACCATCTCACATATAAGAAAATTGTAGCACTAGCGAGATTAAATAGCTTGCCCATGGTCACACAGCTTTTGATGAAATGAGATTGGAACCGAAGCAGTTTGGCCCAGAGTCCATACCCATTTGGGGAAGGCTAATAAATGTAATCAATAACACCCCAAATTTCAGTAGCTTAAGAGAATAAGATTTGTTTCTCAAACATAAATTCTACATAGATGCTCCTCTCCAACCAGCTTGTTTCCAAGGGTGACTCAGATACAAAGACACTTTCCATCATGTGGCTTTGCCCTCCTCCAGGTCCTTTGAGTCCTCTCTGTTTGGCCTACTAAAAAGGAAAGAGCAAAAGGGAGCTTGTGCTGGAAGGTTTTATGGGCAAGTCTGGAAGTGATGTATATCACTCCACCCACATTCTATTGGCCAGCCTTGCTCACATGGCTTGGTATGCACAATGCTGTCTAAATGTGTAG